CAGTGAGCAGGAACTGGTCTGTTTGTGGGATCCGAACCCTTGGCGGGAGCGCCGCCATGCTCCCAAGCGGCGCACTGTAGCAGTGCGCCACCGGGCCGGCCCAATATAAAAATTTTTTAAGAACATTTTTAACAGCTGATATACATAATCATTTTCCTAATACAGCAATACAGTGACAGACCTATCTCAAAAGTCTATTTTGGGACACAAAATTTCATATCTTACTGTTTAAAGCCCTTGAGCCAGAGAAAGATGATAGGCTATCCACAAATAATTAAATATTTCTCTATCTGGCCTGGGACAAACTCATAGTACTTGAATAAGGCCAAAATCAAATAGGAAATGACTGTTTAAAGTTTCATTCTGCTATTGCAAACATTTGGAAACTTATGTAACTCCTTCAACTAATCTTTTCTTCCTTGGTGATTAAAAATAAAAAAGTGTGATATATGGAATGTTTGGTGAACTTTCCTATTAACACTGAAACTGGAAACTCAAAGTACAGTCCAAACACATTGTGTTCAATCATCTTCAAGAGCCATTTTGGGGGTGGGAGGTGGGCAGATGGGTTAGGGGTGGGAAGAAAATACTATTATACGGGAGGTCTTGGGAGGGGGGAGGGTAACATAAAGTGCAGTGTACAGGAAAGTTTTGTTATTAAAATTGTGTATACTATAAAAAGTGAATGCCTCTTTTTTCAAAAAACTTTTCCTTGATAACATAAATTTTGACATGTGAAACTTGAAAAGCCATTTGTGACAGATATGGAAATCTTAAATGAATAGTTGTTTTGTACCATGTTCCTCTACAACGCCAAATGTGTCAGCTGAAAAGGGGGCAGGTAATCACCACCTGTTTTCATTTAGAGAGAGACAAAACTAGACAAAGAAATAAAGATAAAGAAGTAAATAAAATATAAAGTAAAGATAAAGAAGTAAAGGTAAAGGGGTGGGGAGTGGGGGGGTGGGGGGGCCTAAAAAGCCATCACACAATAAAAAGCTGTTCTGTCACAGGCCTTAGCAAGTGGACAAACAGCTGTCTATTGGGCTTATAGGGACTGGGGTTGGCTGTCCCTCTCCCAATCCTCCCCCACAGTGGACTGCCACCACAGCCTGGGGAGCTTACAAAAGGCACCCAATTGCCAGTACCTAGCAAACAGCAACTTAGGGGTAGGGGTAACTGGGGTAGATCCCAGCAGCACCCTGCACACCACTCCTGAAAGGGAGGTCCACAGGTGCTGACCATGTTGGGACAAGCAGGATCTCTACATGATCTATTCTACCCCAGACACCAGCTCAGTGTGAATAGATGGGGCATGGAAGGGAAGATTTTTAATGTCCTTCACTTGGCATAGATAAGCACCCTTAGGACAGGATGCTATGCCAGGGCAGCATTGGATCAGAAACTGCCCTGGTCTCCAGGAACTGACTGCCAAGGGTCTGCCATACTTGCCAGGATGCACTTACTGGTTCTCCAGCCCTGCAGCAGCAACGTAGGACGAGATGAGGGAATAAACAAGGCCACCCTTTTCCCAATGCCCAGGGATGCTAGGATCAGAGAGGCTATGAGAACTCTCACACCAGGAATCTCAGCAGTAACTAGGGCAGAGGAAGGAAGCACAGCATACAATTTTACTGTCAAACTCATTCTGTACGCAATGGAGGGCACAGGTGATGGTGGTTTTAAATTGCACAAAAGGAACAAATTCTTACAATTTATGAGGTTAAAAGCAGAGCTTATTAACATAATTCTTATACATTTTAATCTTAAAAATCCCATGTAAAGCTACATCTGATTTCTGTATCAGTTATTTTAATTAATTTTGCCTGTATGCCATG